AATGACCGAGAACCCACAGTGATGAAAAGGAAAATAAAATCAAACCGAATCCTAGGACTCATCATCATCGTCATCACCATCATCGCACCTTGCTGGAACGGGTAACGTTTTGGCAAGAAATCCTCGCTCCGACATTCTCACCTTTCATGCAATGCTTAATTGTTATTATAACTTAAAACTGTGACCGACACCCTTGCTTGTGCTCCTGAAAGGTATATAAAAATATGCCATTAAATTCACGTCGACCATCAAAAAGACTCAAGGACATTATATTTACAGAGGCGGCGAGATATATACCAGTATTTACAAGACTTCGGAAGCCAAAGGGGTCAGTAAAACCCACCAAGGTGGTCAGACGATGCCGCGGGAGAACAGCGAGACGCGTTTGCTAACCACAAGCCTGGCCTGCTCCAGCCTCACCCACGCCACGCTTGTCTGTCTGCACTGCAAAACCAGACCCAGGACGATTCTTCAACCATTTGCACTGATTTTAATTCCCGCAAACCTATTCCACACGATCAAACATTCACGTTTTGGTCCCTCCTGGAGCTTTCATTTTTGGGGTTGCAGATCCGCCTGGAAACCTTATGATCCAGCGGCCTTGTACCTAGGAGTAGTTGAAGAGGAACGCTTCTGACCACGCGCAGGAAGTTTTCTTGCCAACGCTGAGACAAAAACATCCTACGTGGAAGATTAAGGGCACCGGTTTTCATAGGGGACGGCAGAGTTACTGGGAAATTTGCACCACCCAGCTCCTCTTTAGGTTACAAGCTGTAACTATGAGATTTTTTGCTTTCTGGTATGGGGAATGCCATAACTTTGGGGAGGAGGAAGAGGTGTTGGTGGCAAAGGTTGGCAGTGATTGAATAGGTATCCCTTCCAGGAGTACACAGGAGCAAGAAATAATAGATCCATCAAATCACTGTAGGGGCTTGAAAAAATGGCTGTTTCCTACAGCATCTGCTAGCCAGTGTTTCTCAACCTGGGCAACTTTAAGACGTGTGGACTTCAACTCCCAGAATTCCCCAGCCAGCCTGGCTGGCTGA